GGTCTTTCACTTTGGTGGAAAAGAGACCTGATGGGGGACTAGAGTTGCTTATCTTGAGATGTCAGGCAGACGAGCTAAGTAAGAGTCCTGCTTCGGATGCTAAAAGCCGTCGGGTCCAAAAGAAACGCAGGACAAATGGCTAGCACCGTGCCTGCCTTTCAGCAGACCAAAGCTTACTCAGCACCCGGCTCCTCTCAGCTCTTCTCACCTTGCCCTATCTTACACTTCTCCAGCTCTTGGTCTTTCTTCCCCAAGCTTCTCATTCCTATATAACCCTCCCACGTCAGCCATGTACCTTCTTGGTCTCCTCTCTTTTGTGTACTGCTCTTCTCTTCCTTCTCATTCTCCTCCTCATGGCCCAGTCCATTCTGCTGGCCATGTTCTGTCTACTACTTTCTCTTCCTGCTCTGTACGCTCCCAAATGCCTCTGACTGTACTCTCCCTCATATCTACAATAAAAACCTTCCTTTTAACCATACCTTGGAGTGGTCATGTCCTCATTTTATACAGAAGTCAAATGTCCAACTGTTAGGACTTTCCTCTTCCTACTTTATTAGTACTTACAAAAGAGACATGAATCTGAGTTAAATTTAATCACATCTCTATTGGGGTTATTCTTAATTATTAATATGTAGATTTTCTGATAAGAACCTATACTAGCATACTTTCAATAAATTCAACTTGGACAAACATCATCTATTTTTTTTTTTTTTACAGAAAATTAACTTCAATTTGCTATTATTTTGTTGAATGAAATAAAGCTGTAATTTATTTGCCTATAATACTCTTGGTGACCAGGTCATGCTGGTCATAAAGGTTATGTAAAAGAGGATTGCTATCAATTTGTCCTTGTTATGATTTATTTAGAAAAATCTCCTAAAAATCTCACATGTTGAATTCTTGGATCCCAATGGCGGATACAATCACTGAGAGGTGGGGTGGACTATAAGGTACTAACTTCATCAATGGTTCAAATCCACTGAGAAATTCACACTGAATGGGCAATTAGGAAGTGAAGCCTGTGGAGGAAATAGGTCACTGGGAAGAATGTCTTTGAAGGACATCCTTTGCCCTTGCCCCTTCCTATTTCTGTTTTAAGCCCTCCCATGGTAAGCAATGTTGCTTTGCCATGCCTTGCCATGATCACGTTCTGCCTCAACAGCCTAGAAATGTAGCCAAGTATCTCTGGACTGAACTTTCTAAAATCATGAGCCAAAATATATAGCTCTCCAAGCCATTTATCATAGTGGCAAAAGTTAACACAGGCTTTATAAGCAGAATTATTTATACCTTCCAGAAACCTAAGTCATATACAAGTTGAAGAACTTCCAAACTAGCAACAACTTTTTAACTTACCCTGGTTCTTACCCTGTAAAAATATACATCACATGTCTCATAGAAGAGTTTGGACTACAAGCCAGCACCTCAAGTGTTTTGGACAAAGAGGATCTACTGCCATGCTTTGAGAAAAAAATACCACCCTGGCTTGAGAGCTTGTTTTCCCTCTGCTATCACAACAATTGACAGAAGAACTGCAATAAGCTCCAAAGCCCAGGATTCCCCACTTCTCCATGGAAGACACATTCCAACACATGCAATGGATGTCTAAACGTAAGGAAGTACTGACATTATAACTTACTGTTAACTATGCACTAAACACGCACTGTGGCCATAACTTACTGCTTTAGGCAAGACAGTCAACTAGCATATTTCTTTTTCTTCACAATTTCATGGATAGAAGATCTGTTGTTACCACAGACCTTAGCAACTTCAGCATAGAAACCTTTTTGTTTTCTTGCTAGATTAAAAGTTGCTACTATTACACTTATAGGAAGTACTCCAAGGCTTTTTGAGTTGGCATATCTCACGTGTTGAATTCTTGGACCCCGACGGCAGATCCAATCACTGAGAGGTGGGTGGACTATAAGGTACTAACTTCATCAATGGGTCAGCCATTATGCCAGCCCTTATGCTTTAAGGTTGAGACACATAGCAGGAGTTACTTGAGTTCAAACACTGATACATCAGCATATGTCTTCTGCTAAGAAAGCTACTAGTTGGGCGTACTATACACAATACTCTGAACAGAGGGATGATTCAGGTTCTGGGTGGAACTATGCATGAACAGCAAGTTCCTCACACTGCTCACAATGATGCTCATTTTCAAGTTTGAGTCATTTCAGGAATTTTCCACTTAGTACCTTTAGACGTTTGTTGACCATGGGTAACTGGGACTGCAGAAAGGAACACAGTAGCTAGAGGATGGGTGGGGGTGGGAGCTAGTATAATAGTGAGAGGGTCAGTTGTAAGGGCAAATGCCCTTCCTTATACACAGCATCTCTTAGATACCCAAGGTTTGTCCAGGACAGTCTTGGTTTATACTTAACTGTTTCAACATAATGATTTCCTATTCATTTAAGAAAAAGAGAGAGAGAGAGAGAGAGAGAGAGAGAGAGAGAGAGAGAGAGAGAGAGAGAGAGATCCAATTTGAGTACAGGTGAGTACAGGTGGAGGCTCTTTTTCATAGTAGAATATGCCAGAGGCTGTTGCATGGGCTCATATGACCGATTCTCCCCACTTCACACTTGAATCTTCTTCCCTAGTTCTAAAGACTAGATAAACCCCAGAAATCAAAAGATGGGGAAAATTTATGCTTAAAGCTAAATATCCATTCACTGAAGTCAGCTATTCAGTTCACCAAATACAAAATTTACACAGGAAACAAAGAGCTGTTTGCCTGTAAAGTCCATTATACACACAGTATGATCATCAACAACTAGACAGGACTGAGAAACACCATGGAAACACACTCTAGGAGTATCTGTGAAGAAGTTTCTAGAAAGGTTTAACTGGGTAGAGAAGATCTACAGTACATGTGAATGGCATTATTCCAGGGTTGGGGCCTGGACTGAATCAACAAAGAAAAGGTGACTGAACCTCAGCATTCCCCTCCATCCGCTTCCTGACTGGACACAAGGTGACCACTGCCTTAAGCTCCTGCTGCCGTCATCCTCCCAGCACATGAACTGCTCTGTCAAACTGTGACCCACAACAAACCCTTCCTTCCTTCAGGTGCTTCTGTTAGGTATCCTGTTACAGAATGAGAAAGTAACTAATACACATGGGGGACTTCATTATAAGACTTTTGGTTGGGACCACACAATAAACTATTATCTTCCCATTATAATTAATATATAATAAAATAATAAATCATGTGATTATTTACTTATTATTTTATTAAGTCTCCATAAATTATTTTATCATATTTACTTATCATTATTTTGTTATTGTTGTTGTTATTATGATTATTATTATTATTCCAACACATTCAAGTTCAAATAGGTCTCATTTTATCACAAATAGAAATATGCAAATGGGGGGAAATAGTAGCCTGAGAAGAACAGGGATAGTTTAAGTTCTAGTGTCTTTTTCCCCCCCATGATTGTTTTGTAAAGTAAGGTATTATGATTAGTTTTAACTGACAACTTGACACACCTACAATCAACAGGAAAAAGTCTCAGTTAGAAACTATCTATACTGGATTGGACTGTAGGCATGCTTGTGGGAGACTGTCTTAAGTTAATTGATGTGAAAAGACCCAGTGTACTGTGGGTGTCAACATTCCCTAGGCAGGAGGTCCTGGGCTGTGTAGTAATGGAAAAATAGAGCTGAGGACAAACAAAGATGCAGGCCAGCATGTGTGTATTAATTTATCTCTGCTCTTGACTGTGGATATGAGACTAGCTGTTTGAAAGTTCCTGCCTCGACTTCCCTACAATGATTGAATTGTACACTGAAATAACCCCTCTTTTCCACTAATTTGCTTTTTTTTTTTTTTTTAAAGATTGTATTTTTTTATTATGTATACAGCATATATGACAGCAGGCCAGAAGAGGGCACCAGATCTCATTACAGATGGTTGTGAGCCACCATGCGGTTGCTGGGACTTGAACTCAGGACCTCTGGAAGAGCAGTCAGTGCTCTTAACCTCTGAGCCATCTCTCCAGCCCCTAATTTGCTTTTTATTGGGTATTTTATCAAAGTAAAAGAAACAGAACTAAAACAAACATCTACCTTTATTTCATACAAAGCTCACTATTTTCAGAAGTCTAATTTATATGTAAAAGAAAATCATGATTAAGTAGTATATCCTATTTTCTAAAGAATAGTTCAAAACCAGAATGCTATCTATATCTTCTCTTTTGAGGATCTCAGTATGTATCTCAGGTTATGTTTCAAACTTGGGGTCCTTCTGTTTTCAACCTCCCAGGTACTAGGATTATGTCATGACCATTACAAGAGCAGCCATTACAAGAGATCAAAATAATCTTAGCACACTCTCCTGTTCATTTATTCATTTCGCCTAAAATATACATGAATTGTGGGAAAAACCCAAGTGTCCAATATCTTCTTTATTCCAATCTATCTGACACTGTCTGTCATTTAACATCACCAGAACACTAACCTGGAGGTAATCTAGACTATGCCATCTCAAAGGCCCTAACACTATGTCTGAAAAATAAGAGGTGTCAAAAATGCTTTCATCACCGGGTGGCAGTGGTACACACCTTTAATCCCAGCACCGGGGGTGGGGGTGGGGAGGTGGTTAGAGGCAGCGGATCTCTGTGAATTTGAGGCCAGCCTGGTCTACAGAGTGAGTTCCAGGTCAGCCAGGATTGCTTCACAGAGAAACTCTGTCTCGAAAAACAAAACAAACAAACAAAATGCTTTTTGTCAGAAATGCTTTCAACAATAGTAATTAAAAGGCTTTATGACTTTTCTGACACCTACCTGTAGACTACCCAAATAACAGGGTTCATAATGTTCATAAATAAATGTTTTATTATTTCCCTTATAATACTAAGATAGTATTATATTAAAAACTCAAATCTTTACCAAAACAAACTCTCTTTAGCAAAATAGTAACAATTAAGCATCTACCTAATAGAATAACGAAAAAATGAAGTGTTCTTAATATCACTCTGGAAATTATTACTAACCTGTTGAGGAGTAATAGTATCTCTATAACTTGGTAAAATTTTTAGAGTGACACTTCCACTAATATTTTTCAGTAACTCTTGTAATTCCTTTGGATTGTTTCCAACTTCATGGCCATTGACCTCCTTAATGATATCTCCCACATGAAGCAGACCTTGTCGATCTATCATTCCTCCATGAAGGATTCGGGCGATTACCAGATCATTATTTTCAACCCTAAATGTTACACCCTGTAGGAAATTATATAAAAAAAAAAAGAAAAGAAAAGAATGATTTTATCTCAATAAGAATAAATATGTAAACATTATGAATACAAATAACATAATTCTGAAACCAGGTAGGTAAATTCTTTTCCCATGTTACTTCTTGTCCAGTCTCAATATAAAGTAAGTGCAACTGTGACACCAGAAGAACACCAATGCAGTTGGGTTAACCCTTCAAATCTAGCTCTATTCCATAGACAAAGGAAGCTCAAGGGAACAACAAAGAGTCTCACCTTGTCCTGTTTGCCACATCATTGTTTTTAGGAATCACAAATAAAGAATGTAAAAAGAAGCAGTTAACTTCACTACTTACAGAGTCCCATTATACTTCAAATTTTAATAACAACTTTCTTTCTAGTTTTGGTGTTATCACTAGTAAGCAAACAGAAGTAATTTCTGAAAGGCTGGGAAGAAATGAAACAGTTTTCCTGTTCCCACTGGCATATTTATAGCTTCTAAGTCAGCTTAAGGTTTCGTTCTGATTACGTTTCATAGGCTATATAACTGACAGATCATCTGCTGTGTGTTCATACAAAGGCCAAAAAGACTGATAAAATAAGCATGAGCAGTTTCAACAGTATATCAAGAGCAGAGATTGGGCCGCACTATATTTAATATCTAAGAAAGCAGTGACTCATCTACTCACCAATGGCTCGCCAGCTCTTTTGTGAATACCAAGAATTCGGATGGCATCTACTGGCAATAACTGATTATTGAGAGAAGAATTATTCATTTCTGGGCTTGAGGGAGGCGAATCATAACACTTTGATGCCACAATATCATGGGCCTCCAGGAGCGACTGTAAGGAGTCAAAACAGCCTGTGCTTATTAGCTACTGATGGAACAAGTTGCTAAAAATAATTTATTAGTTCATTATCACTGTGGAGTACTAAAAGTTTCTAAGGACACATTATTAAATTCCCAGTATGAATTATGTCAAATACATATATAATCGTTTTAAGAAAAGCAAAACTAGATCATTTTATTATCATCAAACAATATCATCTTCGGGTTTTCAGGTTTGAAGAGACGGGTAGAATTTAGTCTCATATTTTTAAAGTGTCATGTTCACTAGAAACCAAACCTGGGTTTCTAAGCCTGGTAGAGGGAGGTGACAAATTTCCTATCAACAGAGTCAGCATCCTCTTCAGTCTTTACTACTAATCTCTATCATCTATTCATAAGGTACAAAAACAGCCAAGTGACAAAGACTTTAAGTTTCAATATGTTGATATTTTAGTAATGTGATATACTTTTTACATTTATGAAAGGTATGCTAAAAAGATGTCTAAGAGAAAATAATTATCAGCAACTTCTATCATTAATAGGAAATTGCCAATTAATTAAAAACCAACTAAGGTTTTAGTCTATAAAAGATGTTTTGAAGATAAAAAAGAATCAGAAATGGTTCCAGATAAAATACACATTTTGCTTTCTCTGCTTATTGTATGTATGCTACTATGGATGATTCTCAGGTAGTTGTCTAGGAATGTCTTTTTTGTATACTAAATATTATCTTAAAGGAGTTAAGTTTTAACTCAATACTTGTCATAACTCTAAACTAAAAAATTTCTGACTATGCAGAATATAAGTTCAAACACAACAAATTACAATAGAAGAGAAGAGCAAGTATCAACACATTCAAGACAGAAACAATCTGAGTTTTGGCTTAATTGGTAATTCCTGATAATTTCATAAAATCATTTGCAAGATACTGGAAAACAATTTAAAAACAGGGTTAGGAAGACAGCTCAGTCAGTAAGGTGCTTGCCTCCCAAACGAAGTACTGTGTACAGATTCTTAGTACTCATATAAAAAGTTGGATATAGTGGTGAATGTCTGCAATCCCAGCTCTGTGAAACAGACACAAGAGTATTTCTAGGTCTCACCGGCCAATTGGTAAGCTCCAAGTCCAGTAACAAACTATCTCAAAAAAAAAAAAAAAAAAGGGAGGGAGGGAGGGAGGAGGGAGGGAGGAAGGAAGGAAGGAAGGAAGGAAGGAAAAGGTGGAAAGTAGCTGAGGAAAACAGACTTGACCACT